GTGATCATAGAAAACTCTGAGATTCAGCTTTAAGTCTGAAACTAAGGCCCCAATCAAATGTCTTGTGACTTTATTCATTTTTCCATCTAAAACTACATTTGAACAAAGACAGTCACACAATATATGAACACAGAATTTAAGGAGAACATAGTACTCTGCCATATAAGCAGATATTTAGTACCAAGTTATGTGCCATTAGCTAATAGTAAAAGTCAGTAGCGTTTTACTGCACAATTACATTTAAATGCTATAAGCAACAGAATCCTAGAAACAAGTTTCAATAAAAGCATTTCTTACAAATAATGACATTTTTCAACATCACCATTAAAAAATAAAATCATATATAACTGAAATATTTACGAGTATACCTGTTCTACCCACACATTGGAAACACATAGACACCGTGATATAGGTATTTTGAAATATATTATTTACACAACTAGAGCACCAACTGATGATTTCTACTTTACAAGCATCGGACCTGGCTAGTGTATTAATTCCTAGCGCGTCAGGCCCCACTTTGTTCATCTTAAATCCAACATTATACTAAAGAGAACTGATCAATAAATAACTCAGCAAGTTGGATACCATAAATGGGCTGAAGGCCATAAGCTACCCCTTTTTTGTTGGGATGAGTGCGTTGAACCATTTATTTAGGTCAAAGAAAGAAAGTCTTTGAAGGGTTTGGGTGCGGCTAACAATGGCATCAGACATTAATCAATTAGCAGCAGGGTTCAAATACTTCAGACCTGGTGTGAAGCATCTCCAGTGCACCATACTGGAAAAAGCGGACACTAGACAATTTTGACTCTGATATCGACCGTTTCCTATTTATTTATTTATTTATTTATTTATTTATTTATTTATTTATTCATTCATTCATTCATTCATTCATTCATTCATTCATTCATGCTCACTTACATCTATTAATATAACTTAGAAATCAAAATAAAAACACTAATATCAGGAATAAGGAAGTCTATAACAAGAATATATGTATGAGCCAAGTCATAGAACTGTCTTACAGAACACATGCATAACTAAGCAGCAAAAGATACTCCAGAGTCAGAAGATGCCCCAATTAACATACAGTTTATAGTACAGTATTTATATGTTTAAGGATAAAAAGAGGTGTTTCTTAGGAAGTTAAATATCAAGATATGACAGGTATATATGAAATATACACAGGTATATTTCTTTCAAGCTAAACAGAAAAATCAGATAGTTGTGACAGAAAATTTACCATACACTGAAAGTGAAAAAAATGGACTACTGACTATTTTAGCAAAGTTTCAGAGTAAAATTTAAAAGCAGCATAAAAAGTGGAAATTAAAGGGTTCTGGTGGCAGACAGATTGCTGTAGGCTTTCTCCAATTAAAAAAAAACATGGTTGTGACACTCCCTAACAATAGCACGATTAACAGCTGTGCCGTTCTCATGACAGACAATGTTGCTCATGTTTGTTTCAGACTGGCACAACTGTCACTGCTCACAAGATTGAACAGATCTACAAATCTGACATTCTTAGTTTGTCACACCATCTATAGACCCGAAAAAGGGGAGGGGGCCCCTACAGCTTTTACTAGTAATGTGCCGTGCTGTGAAGCCTGGGGTGATGAAGTCCCTGCTCAAAGTATTGTACCATTATGGCAATCTATAGATTTAATTGTTACCCAGGGTGGGATCACCCTCTGCTCCCCCATAAACAAAAATGGGACAGGCAATGGACCATTCAGCAGGTTTTCTTTTTCCAGTTTGAGAAAGGGTAGGATGCAAAACTATAGTCTTGCAATTTAAAAAATTCACCTAATATTAAAATAGGCTTTTAAAGTGAAAAACAAAGGGCAATTCTATATGCTAAGTTTAATTACTAAGCAACACTATTTTAGAATTAGTTTCTTGCCATCAAATGAGAGAAAATGAGAGTTTAAAATAGATTCTCACCAAGTGGTTTACAAGGAATAATGGGGCTAGATGCAAGCATGTAGGCATTTATAAAAACAGGAATATCAACACTGTGAAAAATCAAAGTTTCAGGTTGTTGAGAGTCAGACACTTGTATTAACTATAAAAATAAAAAAGACCAGTTTGAATATGTAAATTTCGAAAGCCTTCCAAGAGGCTTGCACTAAAGGTTTAAGGTGTGAATCAACAAGAATGTTCAAAACTCAGAGGTCACACTTTGGAAGGTCACCTTCCAGAGGCCACCTGGTTATATTTGCCAGTCTACCTACTCCAGCTGCTTGAGGGCAAGGCAGATAACAACCTAAGTGATTCAGCAGAATCATATGTGTAAAAGTATTTCTTTAGGTAATCTGACCCCAGACCATTGAAAATATTAAAAGAAAAAAATCCAGAAAAAACAGTTACCACATGCATTACCAGAACTGGCTACTAGAGGAAGCCAGATACCATACTGTGAATACTTGTTATTGAAGAATCAGTAGCATGGTCTCTAGCGGTTCTGCAGTTCTGGTAATGCATGTGAAAAAAAATATGTTTTTCTCCCCTTTTACCATCAACCAATCCACAGTGGATATGGGGGCCCAACTGTAGCTTATAAGGAATTCCTAGCCTGTTGGGTCCCTCAGGGTTTGGTTTGGCCCTGTTTTCTGTTCTATTTAGCATTTATATAAGATCACTGAGTGTGCGTGTGTTTGTGTGTGTATGTGTGTGCACACGCACGCGCACGCACACACACTTGTTTGCTTGAAATATTTTTACTTTGCTTTTTTTTCCTTAGAAAGGATATAGGGTGGCTTGTGTTTAAAGCTAAAAACTGTATGTATACAAATATTAAAAAGGATAAAATAACACATTAAAAGTCATTAAACAAAAGCAACATGAAAAACACATTCGAAGCAGTAAGGCACAACCATCCATTTAAAAACACTACTCAGGCACCAGTCATTAAAGGAAAGGTTGCCTGAAGAGAAAGATATTTGCCTGCTTGTGGAAAGACAGCAAAGATGAGGCCAGTCTAGCCTCCTATGGGAAGGAGTTCCAAAGTCTGGGAGCAGCCACAAAGTATGCCCTCTACTGTGTCCTAAACAAACACACCTGTGAGGGTGGAAGGACCAAGAGAAAGGCCTCTCCCAATGATCTTAACCATTAGACAAGCTCCTCAAGAGAAATGTGGTCCTTGAGATAACCTGGTTCCAAGCTGAGTTTGTGGGCTTCAGTGCTAGCTGTATGCTAATAGCATTCAGCTTTGTCACTCTTTTCCAGTTATGCCAAGGAGGATGTTTTGCTTCTAAGTCAGTGGCTGATACTGCATGTGGACTTTATCCAGAAATACACATGCTCAGTTGAGAGGGCAATCAGTGAACAGAGACTCAGTCTGAGCTTGATGGGGTTATACTCCCTGTAAAACCTCAAATTCACACCATGGGTGTTTTGGATTCATCTCTGATTGTAGATGTTCAGGTTTTGGCAGTGTCCAGGTAATTTGTGCAGTTAAACACAGTGCACCAGTTGCACCTGTTCCCTTAGATGTCTTTTATCGATTATGGTGATTCATGTCTTAGTTGTATCCCAACTTAATTGTGTTTAGAATTAAAGATTTGTTTACCATTACCACCACCACTCATATGTTTCCATGGCTGACACACTGTCCACCATAGTGGCTCTGCACAAATTCATTTCTGAGCTTTTGAAGAACTGGGAGGAGTTAACTCTTCATCCACACATGATTTTCCTGAAATCATTCCACTAACACCAGGCAAGAAAACTCTACTTCCTTTACTAGAAATGGAAGATGTTAACACACACTTGTACTCCAGAGTTTTAGCACTAACTTGAGTCAAACGTACATTTGACAAGCACCAAATATATTTTAAATTAATGACCTAAGTATGAATACAAAAAAGATACACTGTATGGATCAATTATATATATTCATGGTGTGTGTGTGTGTGTGTGTGTGTGTGTGTGTGTGTTTGTGTATGATGTGGGAGGAAAGAGATACATTAATTTAGTGAATAGGCTTCTCTGTCGAGTACATCACTGCTGCAAGATAATGTATGAAATACTTCTGGATTTAGTATACTTAGAGTTACCACTTTCTCTTGTGAAGCTTTGCTGCAATTAGTCACTAATGACTGCAATGCTCCAATCATGCGACTTTAAAATTTTATTTATTTATTTATTTATTTATTTATTTATTGGACTTATATACCGCCCCATAGCGCTACAAGCACTCTCCGGGCGGTTTACAATTTTTAATTATACAGGCTACACATTGCCCCCCAGCAAGCTGGGTACTCATTTTACCGACCTCGGAAGGAAGGAAGGCTGAGTCAACCTTGAGCCGGCTAATCTACTACAAAATAAAAATAAAAGACAGCAGTGAAAAAAGCAAGGAAGTAACTTGGCAGAATCACTGAATTCAAGCCAGTACTATCAGTGTAAATCTTCAGTTTGATAAACTAAGAGCCAATTCTCATAGCAGTCACAAGGTAGCATGCTTAACAAGTTAGGTAGCTATAATACTTGTCTGCATCAGATGAACTATCTAGCACCTGTTTGCCTTGATTAAATGACCATCACACCAAGGACCGTACAATTGTAAACTGACCTGACTATCAAACAAGTTATGAAGGACCAATCCTTGCAAAGGGCAACAGAAAGATGGGACTTATTTTATAAATGGACTGAATTAACAGGTAGTAGCTGAATATATATAGTGAAATGAGAACCTTATACACAAGGCAGAAAAGAGTAAATAGAATGATTTTGGATTTGATATGGCAATAGGTATAGATTGGATATTAGTATGCTATGATTTCCCCTCTCCCTCACAAATCCCCTTCCCTCACAAACCCTAACCCCCATGTTCCTATGTCACCCTTTATGTAAAAAATAAAATAAAATAATATATAAAAACAAAAAACCAAAACAATTCTATTAAAAAAGGCAAATGATTTTCTAAATATAAAATCATACAATTTTTTTTTAAAAAAGATAACCCTTGTAGGTTTTAATGAAACATAAATGCTCACCTTTGTTTCTTCTATTCTCATTGCATCCAACAGATAATGAAGAACTTCTTGGCTGTCTTGCTGTTGAAATCCCTTAAACCGAGGGGCCCTGCAAGGAGGGGAAATCGTTAAGTCCCTGGCAGAAGACCTTTCAGATTTATTGATAAAAGAATATACTAGCATAAATGCAAGGGTGTAAATGGCAGCAGCAAATGACTGCTAGCTATCAAGTCACCACTTTCATCCCTCATCAGAAAACCAGTCGCAGGAGCTGGTGCACAATGTGGGATATAAGTGAGAACCTTTTAACTACATCAATTCACCACTGCAATTTATGACACTGAATATATTGTGGTAGGATTCTGGCCCACATATTTTGTAAATATGTGGGCACAGCATGAGGTAGTGGATAGAATGATAGACTAGGGCTCATGAAGCCTGGGTTTGAATTCCTGCTCAGCCATGGAAGCTCACTGCGAATGTGGAACTGGTAAAATCCTTAAATGTCTCACTTACCTTGAAAGTCCTGTTATGGTTTCCATAAGCTGCTTCCAACTTGAAGGCACATAAACAAACATACCACTGTGTTTTAATTAAGGCATTATGATAAAACCACAGTGTGATTGGGTTCAATCTGAAAGTTGCAGCAGTTCCTCAGCTTTGGCGGGAAATAACAACTGAGATTTGTCCTTACTGTTTACAACTTTGACTTTATTAACCCTCGGTGTTTCATCCACCACAATCGGATTGTAATAAGACAAATCAGGCAAAGGTCCATAACTAGATGCGGATAGTTCTTCTTTAAAATTAGGGTAACTCATTGAGGGGCTGGACCAAAACACTCCTGATCTGTGGGATTCCACAGAGGGACCCTCCATACCACGCAAATGGTGTAGCAACATGGGTGGTGAGCCTTGTCTCCCTTTTTCGGCGGCTTGTTCTACATCTGATCTGACCGGATCACCTTCTTCCCACCTCCCTGTCCCCACGGGGAAAAAATCATTGTCCATTCTTGAGTTTCAAATGTCATCTCTACTTCTCTTTTCATCTCTGGGTCCAGTAACAACACATCAAGCTTTAGTTTAGGAAAGTCTTTCAAAAGACGACGCGGCCTCTCATACTTTGAATCTACTCCTTCATTCTCGAATCTACTGCCTACTCCTACTCCTCTCTCCTTGATCTTTTATACTTTCCTCCCATACTGATGTTTTTAGCTCCTCCCCTTTTCCTCCCTCTCCTTCTACCAGACAGAGCTTTATCTTCCCTTTCTCCTCCTCTGGTGTCTCTGTGGGTGAGGATGGTTCACTTTCCCCCTTCCTCACACATAGGCAAAAAGAGGAATAAGAAAAAGGGATCAAGGAAATATGTTGATGAAAAATGGAGAAGGAAAGCATAGTAGGCTGCCCTACTTTGCCGGCGTAGAAATGCAAAAAATATTTCATATGGAGGTACAAGCCTTCAGATGGGAGAGCAGGGTAGTTTTTATCACTGATAGGAAGCTGGTTTAACTTATTAGAAAATAGTCAAACTTGCATAGATCAAGGGAAAACACTTTCATTATTCACTACTCTAATGTATATGAAAACTAATTTTAAAGTCTTAAAAATAAATACAACATACAGCTTTCTCCTTCTTTGCAGTACTAGCACCACACAGTAAAGACAGAACATTTGCATTAGCAATGAGAACAACACCGAATATTTTTATTATCAAGGGAATCAGGCTTAATAAACAGTCAAAATAACTTTTAAATCATTATTGCCAGCATAGTTTCTATTGAGATGTTTCCTTTTTCATAAAAAGATAGTGAATTAAATTATTAAATATTTTAAAGGGAACCACAAAACAGTGAGGATTTTTATGAAACAGTCTATTCTACCAAGGCGTTTGTGTATTTTACTACACAAACATTCAGTGCTGCACCATCTTTTCAAAGTATATCCTTCCTTATGCCCTTGCCCTTTGCATTTTCCATCTTTTTATAGTGTCTGGGATCAGCAGTCCTCTGTATTAGGAACTGCCTCGAGGTGGTCAGGCAGCTAAGCTTCACAAAAGCTTGATCTTTCTTTATCGTAGGTCTACAGATGCTAAGGTAGGTGAGCCAAGGGGCTAATGACATCTGTAAACTTATTTGCAAAATGAAATCTAGGCAAGAATTAGATGATGTATAAAACAGACACTGCAAAATTCCATTCTTATATACAGTGTCCAGGCAAAACTGGCCAGCTGTCACACTGGACATTGAAAATGAAAACTGGTTTGCAGACACCAGCAAGGACTGATGTCGTCACTTCTTTATTCCAATGAAAAAGGATGAGGAATTCCCATACAACTCCTGTCCAATGTTTTTGATAGCACAGAGTATGGCTGACAGAACAAAGCTTCAGGTGGTATTTAATATAATGTGAATACTATCTATAGGAAAGAACATATTTTCTGCTTTCCTCCATTCCGCTTTTAACAAAAGTAATAAGAAAGGGGTCCAATTTTTATTTGTAGCCTAAGGAAAGACATGCTGAACAGTCAGAGCAACATAGTATTATTTTGCTTATGTCAGCAAACATGTCCTGTATGCAATAACTTCATTTGTCATTTGTCCAGAAAAGGTCTTTTCAGTCAAGACTTTACATATCTACACAAATTAGTGAATGCAAGAGGAAAAATAGGTACCCAAAAGGATTAGCGGAGGAGAACATAGGTAGAAACCAGGCATGACCTAAAAATTCTATAGACAGAAATGAGCTCCACAATATAGAACAAACACCACTCACATTATCCAAAGATCTCTGAAAGCATCATCTTTGACACTCATATCATTGGCAGCAGCGAGAACAGCAGCACTGCTTCCAAGAATGTTTAGTCCAGTAATAGGCAACCTGCAGGCCTCAGAGTAAGTTTCATGCTGGCTTTAGACTACATGAAGCCCTCTGCAAAACTGAACTTTAAACCAAGGGCAAAAGTGATCACTTGTGTGTTACAGGCCACTGAGCAGGGACGAGGGAGGGGAAGGGAAGGGAAGGGAAAGAGGCTTTCTTCTCTGATTTTGGCCCTGGCCACTTTTAGTTCTGTACTTATCAACTACTAGTTTCATCCCTGGCATGCAACTCTCCAAAGATTACTCTTAAGAGAGTAAAGTCTGTGACATTAAACAATACAAAAATGTATTAGTCTGCACTGCACCTGCTGGCAGAGTCTTTGGCAAGAAAGATGATGTGGGCAATACCAATAAGAAGGGTGGTGGAGAACATTGTTGCCTTGGGGATTCAAAAGTATCAAATCATCTTTTCCACACATGTTCTTCTCTCCTTTTGGTTCCACCCTACAAGATTTTAAAGGATGTGTCCAGCCAACTTATATTAATGGACATGCACCTGGGCAAAATGTGGCCCTCCAGATGTTGCTGAACTGCAAATCCCAACACTCCTCACTATTGGCTGTGTGGCCTAGGATTGCTGGGAGTTGCAGTTCAGCAACATCTGGAGGGCCACATTTTGCCCAGGAGCAAACCTAGCTAGCAGCCCATTTAGTCACGTTAAAGCCTAAGAACTGTAAAAATGTCCAAATGCGGATGAAATAGAAAACTGATTCATGGTTATGAGGTTACATTCCACAGGAAAAATTATTCAGCTGGCTATCTCATGGGCACTTACCTGAAAAAAAGCCTTACTGGACACAGCGGGATGGTACATGAATGCCTAACTTCCTTTTATTTAATTACATTAAAACTTTCAGCAAATCAAACCCACCTATCACTTGGTAAAATCCTTCCATGTACTCAGAATTCACATGACAGAAAGCGATTCCAAACCACAAACACTGACATTCCTGTTAGAACCACCACTGGACAGGTCTTTAGCCTAAGCTCTTTGTGACGTGTAAACGATTAAATGGAGCACAAGTTCATAGAAGTAATCCACTCTGCAAATTCTAAAGTAGTACACATCAGTTAAAAGATCTTGCTGTTAATTCTGTCGCTTTGAGAGTTTCTCAGGGCAAAAACAAACATTGTACAAAACAATAACTTTAGAAGATGATCACTAGTGAAAATAACCTGAGTATGACACAAGAAGATCTCTCACCTCCTGGAGTACGCAAATTAGATCATTTCTATTTGGTCATTGGTCTTCAGGACTTAAGCACAGGTTTTCTTTGAAGTCTGATATCACAAATCTGAAAAACCACCTGTTACCTCTCTCTTACATTAATAGTTCTAATTATCAGATATTGACAACATCTGCTTCGAACCTCATATTGCAAACTAAACTAAGTTTTAGTGTTGCTTTTTTCATGATTTAATTTTTTACTTTTTAATGACCAGAGCATTTTTATGACGTGTTAGCCTGTGCATAAAGACAAAATTAAAAAATTCCTTAACATTAAGGATGTTTCAATTCCTTTGAAATATAAAAAGAGCAAGAGTTTTTTTTTAAAAAAATCAATATTTAACAGGTTGCTTGAGGCTTATGAACACCACATGTTAACATTGTCTGTTTATGAACAAAATAAAATTTAATTTGGAAATTTTCAACGTAATTTAAAGGGTTATAAAATGAACTGAGTGAAGTAAGATGGGTTAGGGAAAAATGAAAGGGTTTTTCGAGAAACCTTCAAAATGTTAATCAAAGGCAAGCTCTAACCTACAGTGATATGTTCAGATTTGACAACTAAAAGATGTGCATTCTTCTCTCCTTGAAAATATGCTTCAAGCAAGATCCTTGGCAAAAGTGCAGGACTCTAAGATGGTTGGTTGAATGGACCGCTCACAGATGTGCTGACATATGGAAGCCAGTGCCAATGCGCTACAACCTGTTGTACAGTGTCAGCAGTATAAATGACAGAACAGGTTGAACTCCTCCTGTTAATGGCCATAAGTAGTGAAGGACAACTCTGTCCTGATGTCACTGCTAGTCAACTGTATCATCTGTATGATCAAGTTAGTGCAAAATATAATTGTTCAACACCAGCTACGTATTTGATTATTCTTTAAGTATTCATCCAATTTAAGTCAAACAGAATATAGGTTAGGGAGCACTATAGATAATTATAGAAACTCTTGTGATTATTTAAAGGAGAAAGGTGGGGTAAAATATGATAAATAAATATATACAT